AATCTGGACCAGATCCAAAAAAAGCTGGGAGTGTCACTGGGCACAAGGCCTTGCGCTAGCACTCTGGGTCCATCCCAGGAGGCAGGGCTATTTTGATAGTAGCTCCATCCTAAGAAGAAAACATCCCATGGGCCAGATACAGCTGGAAAGCCGCCACTAGAGCTGATCAGTGAAACTGTTGCTGGAACTAAGAAATCAGGTGTATCCGTTAACTATTGCTACAATAATGCTGTGTAACAAACCACCCCAAAACTCAGTGGCTAAAAGCAAAACACTTTTTTCTATTCAGGATCTACAGATCACCTGGGGCAGCTCTGCTTCATTTGGCACATCTCTGGGTCTGGGTCTTCTCCTTGGCCTTTCATCCTTCCTGAACTAGAGGGCTTGCAGGAACATGTTCTTTTCAGGACAATGGCAGAGGTACAAGAGGTAAAGAAGAAACACCCAAAGCCTCCTAAGTCCTCGACTATAAATTGGTACCATCACTCCAGCTCTGTTTCATTGATCAAAGCAAGAGGCCCAGGCCAAAGTCACAAGGCAGGAAGTACACTCTGACTGTGACAGAGCCATGATAATTATGCAGTGCAGGAAGACACAAAGAACTTGGATCAGCAACTACTTCACACCTACTGAGGCAGAGTCATTTTTTTCCTACAACTTAGTGGGTTTTCTATGTATTTGATTCCAGTCCATTCTATGTGTCAAAGCCACATTTTTTTTCCAAGACAGGCTTTTCTCTCCCGATTTAATTACTAGCACTTTGGGCACATCTGGTGGCAGTAGTACTATACCTTTAAGCTTTATAGGAGGTTTAAAAGTCACTTGGTAATAGTTTGTAATGTTATTAGCCACACCCCTGATTGGGTCTTTACCCTGAGGCCATGTTTTCCTGCAAGCCACCTAGATTTGGTCTTTGTCTCTCCTGCTATGATGCAACAACCGGACCCTAGACTTGATCTTTGTCCCCAGGCCATATCTAAATTCGAGAATCTTTTTCTGGCTGGAGAGGCTGAAGATTAGAAACAGCTTTATTTTTTAAGCCAACAACTTCTGGACTGCTTGCAAACTGTGTTTTATTTGGTTCTGAGCATATCTCCTTTCCTGTAGTATTTACCTATATGCATTTATTTAAAAGCAAACAGCTCAAGCTTTCAAAATTTTTCTTGGGAAACGAATTTCTCCTAGCTCCCCCGTCCTTTCATTTGATTATGTTGTTCACTGCTCTGCGTGCTTACACCACGCAACAAATCAGTGGGCGGAAAAATCCTAATATTTGGATTTGCATACACAGAATGTTCCACTTGAACCTTAAGGTCAAATTTATCTGTACAAAACAACTCTTCCATAACTCTACTGAGTGATAGCAAGATCTGGCTTAGCCCCAAAGAAGAAATTAGAATTTTTTAATCGTACTTGTTTAGATCTCTTCTTGGAACCATAGAGAAGAAATAAGAGAACAGGATTTGGATATTCCTATTTTGGATTTTCAAAATCTTACCTTTGTCCCTTGGAAGGGCCGCAGGTGCAAATTCTACTGGTCTGGAAGTGTGTGGAACAGAACTATACCATTTGTTAGCCCCAGTAAATGGTGGAGTCATGGAATACCAGTTATTTGGTAGAGCATTAGATGATAGAATGGTTTGGTTCCATCAAAAGCATGACACAGATCAGTTCAAGTTCATGAATCAAAGGTTCCTCCTTTTTAAAATTTTGTAAAAAGATTTTATTTATTTATTTGACAGAGAGAGTACAAACAGGGGGAGTGGCAGGCAGAGGAAGAAGCAGAAGCAGACTCCCTGCTAAGCAGGGAGCCCAATGTGGGACTAGATCCCAGGACCCTGAGATCACGACCTGAGCCAAAGGCAGATGCTTAACTGACTGAGCCACCCAGGCACCCCAAGGTTCCTCCTTTTAGAGTTAACCACCAATTTCCTCCACAAAGGCTCTAGACTGATTTATAAAGCTTATGATAGTGCTTAGGTCTATTAGTGGATATATAAACTATCTATGGCCCATCACCCTCCACTGCAGAATCAGTGAGTTCAAGGCTGTAGACATTACAGACTTTTGCAAGTATATGGGTACACATCCCTCTTTATCCCACTGGTGGCAACAAGAGGCTAACCTATCAAAAGTGTATGGCCTGTCTCCACTAGAGATAAAGCTAAGCTTCTTACCTCTGGGAATCCCTGCATAAATTCAACTTTTAGCATAGGGCAAATGGACCAGGACTTCCTGGAATATAGGGCAACAGAGCTGGCTTTGGTGCTTACCTCTCCACAGTCTGTAGATCTAACTGGGGACTCAGCTGCCAACAGACCCAGCCCTTCTATAGGTTCATGGAGGCTGTACCCTATGTGGGTTTCACCCAACTCGTTCCAAAGAGGATCAGTCAGCCACTCCACAAACTAGACAAAGAGGGGCTCTCATTCCAACCCAAATGTTTGGGCAGGAGGTCCTGACATATTGCCTTATATCTCCCATATCAAATTTGTTATGACTCATGTACTTAGAATTCAATCTCCCTGGATGGGCAGATATAATTTCCTTATGATGTCCTCTTCTGGGCCCAGCAAGAGGCTCTAGCTGTAAAAGTATGGTGTTGTCCACCTCTAGGCCTGCCTTAGGAGTCAGCATAGTCACATATAAGTCTGTGGTCCCAGTGCCCCAGAAGCAGGTTTGTTACCTCAGGTTCTACTGAAAGAAGCATGTTATTCCATCGGCCCTAGGAGAAACAGGCTGTCAGAAGAGAAATGCTTTGAGACAACAATTGTGGTCGTAACTTGCATAGTTTTCTGTGTGTTGATTGTCCTATGTTCTATATATATGTTTTCTAATACAGCAACTTCTGTGGAAAAAAGCCTAGGCTCAGAGAAATTAAATAACTTGCCTCAGGTCTCCCAATGAGCACTGGGACCTGAAGGCCAGCATTGGGTCTCCACAGTCCCACTGCTCTGCCCTGGTGTATGTTATCTGGCCTGCCTGCCCTGGAAATGCAGTATTTACCAGTAGGAAGGGTTTGCCAGCCAGGCATGATTCTCAGCTTTGAGGATAGAGATGTTAGTTGACTGCTCCTTCATCCGTTTTCCTGAACACATTCTATCTGGAAATTTGAAGAGGACTTTTCCCCAAGAGCCTCTTCTTGGAAGGAGATTGAAGTCTCCTCTGCATACTGAGCCAACCCAAATGTTTGTTTTCAGAACCATTTTGAGCTGCTCAAGTGCACAAAGACTTCAGTGGAAATTCCAGACTTTTACAACTTAGAACGTCGCAGAAATGAATTCAGTCTGGAAATTTCAGTATCTTACCTATAGAATCTGACTTTGATGAGCACTGGCTGTTCCACCAAGAGGAATTAGCTGCAAGTGATCTAATTAGTCTACTACATGGGAGCTTATATCAAACACTTGAATTGTGGGTCAAGTCCTTCAAATACAATTGTAGCCATTTTACAGTTGATTCTAAGAAGTAACAGGAAAATGGGATCGATTACTTCTTGAGACATTTGTGAATATAAAATCATAGTGACAAGAGAAAAAAGAAAAGTTTTTCTGAAATGCTATGGAGTAAATTCTGTTGGAAGAAAAAGAGAAAGCCTTAACTTCCATTGTTTTATACCACTGAGAAGTAAATATGATGTATTGAGAGACTATTCATCATCACTCTGGTTTGTGGAGTGGTTTGGAAAGGCAGGCACTGTCAAAGCATGAATAGTTAGAACTTGTGCTGAATGCACACAGTTTGGCCCAAACTGGGTATCTGCCCCCCATTTCTAATATGCATGTATTCATTTTTTTTAAGATTTTATTTATTAGAGTGTGTGTACGGGGCGAGGGGGGCAGAGGAAGAGGGTGAAGCAGACTTTCCACTGAGCGCGGAGCCCAGTGTGGGGCTCAATCTCAGGACCCTGAGATCATGACCTGAGCTGAAGTCAGACACTTAACCCACTGAGCCACCCAGGCGCCCCCAATCTGTATGTATGCAGATGTTCAGTGAACAGCATTGTGAATACCAAGAACCCAGGAGTTGTTCCTACCTCCCCCTAGTGTTGCATCTCTATATCCAGTCTCTAAATACTAATAATCCACTAATATTAAGGTAGCTGGAAGCCATTCCGCTCTCTTCATATAGCACCATAGTCAGGCTCTCAGAATCTCGTAACTGAATTCCCCAAGCCGCCTCCTAACAGGCCCCCTGACCCCAGTGTTACTCCTGCTCACTCCAACCTCTGTGCTGCTGCTGGTGTGATCTTTCGGAAATGTAAAAGGGATTTTGCCGTCTAAAACTCTCCACTTGGCCCCTGCAGTTATAAACTCCTTGGCCTGTTTACACAGTGCTGCCCATCTGCTGTGACAACCTTCACACCAGCACACGGTCACTCTAGCTAATTCAACAAGCAAGAGGGCCAAGATGCTCTATCACTCTTTCTTTTCTCTCCAAGCTTTGGTTTTTGTTTCCATGTGCTTGGAATGCCCCTTCTCTGACCCCATACTCCCAGGAGAGAGATAGGCATGGAAAGCGAGCAAGTGTGGGCAGTAGAGATGGGTGTGCAACACGATGAAGGACACTCGGCAAAACTGTTCATGGGGATTCCTACAGGATGGGGTGGCAGGGGAGGTGTTAAGGGAGTGGAATTGCATGATATACTTTTTGCCTTCCTATAATGCTTATGGATTTTTTTCATTGAGAATATGCTTAATTTATCTCTTTATATTTTTTCACCACATATTCCCATCCTCACCTTCAGAGATACTGATTCAATGGGGAAGCATCCAGGATTCTGATCTTCCACAGCCTCCCTACCTCCCCCTAGACTCCGTTAATCAGTTTTGGGAATCATGGTTGAAATGGTTATTTCCCAATATAAGGCAACTGACACCTCTGAGAAAAACGTCAACTCTATTATACAATACTTTTTTATTATTTCCTATTCTTTTGTAGTAGCTTAATTCCACTACCAATACATATTCTCATGTCTCTACTACACTTGAATTATCTGTATGAATTATAATAGCCTTGAGAGCCATCTAAATAGCCACATTTGAATAAAGGGCCTAAATAATCATTGTAAAAAGCATGTGTTTGTGCAGTAAGTTTATAAACCATTTTAAAATTCAGGCAAACAAGAAAAAAAGCTACAAATACAAATATCAGGGCTTCTTAAATCCTAAATTTTTAACACTAACTTAAGTACCATTTGATTGGTTCTCAAAACAATGGCTATTCTCAAAGTATAAAATAGAAAGTTATTATAAATATCAGCTTTGGTATAACATATACCTATTTCCCTATTTTCAAGTTTTTGACTTCGGGAAAATAGAAACATGTAAGTGTTCTTATAATTAACTTTTGAAAATATTTATAATACCCTAAAATTCAGACATTAGAGCATCTATTTCTTTAAATTTGTTTGTTATATTTTCAATACATTCTCCAGCTTTTAATTTTATCCCATCAATTACAAGATAGTCCTCTTCATAGTGGTTTTCAAATGGACTGCCTGCTGGAACTCCAGGGTTGCATTTAGATAACTGTAAAAATAACCATACAATTCATCAGAACTACATCAGGTTTACTGGAAGACCAGGCTTAATTATTTGAACAAAATGTAAAGTAGTCAGTAACTTCACAAGCCACAGCAGTTACACAAAGTGTTCTGTTATGCTGGTGGTCCAATAATGATCCCCATGTAGAGTAGAATGTATAGTAAATGTGTTAATATGAGAAGAACTGATTATTCAGGCCCTATCTCTTTTCCCCAACTTTATACATATTTAGTTTTAATATTAAGCTTTGGGGAAACATGATCAGCTTCATTCTATGAGTTTTCTATATTTGTTTATTTTTTAAATTATTATTATAGGTAATACAACTTAAAACCATTTAAATCACTTTCTCTGGCTATCTTCTCATAAGCCTCTGCATTACTTACAAATAGCAATCGTTTGCTCTAGCTCAGTAGGAAGGGACACTAGTAAAAACAATGCAAACATCCATAAACACACACAAGATTTATAACTTCAAGGCTCATTAAAGGTAGAGTGAACTTCCATGAAATTAAGAAAAAAACAATTTATACAAGTATATTCACGTACCAAAAAGTGTAGCTTTTAATACAAATAATTATTCACTAAACTCTGTCTTATTTATATATGGCTTATCTAATTCAGGTGGATTTTACACAAATCTGATATTAATTCCCTCTCATTGCTTGCAAAGCCGGGGCATGACAACCAGTGTTAAAATTAGCTAAAGAAGAGTGTAATGAGGAAGGTGACTCTACTAAGGAAAATAATCTCATAAAACATTTCAGTGACAAATAGAAGAGAATTTTGATTATCCACGTGTGTATGCATTTTTTTTTTAATGTTGCTACTCTCACCCATTGGTATAAATGCTTGAGAGTAATCAACCTGAACCCTCATACATGAAATGGATGAAAATCATCAAATTTACAACTTTGAAAAGAGCTCAAACAATATCTGCTCAGAGAATAAACATACTCAGAACCTTAAAATTACCAGGTGGCTCTTTTGGGGATGTTAGTTTGTAAGAGGCCACTTTCTCCTGCAAACACAACACAGCTCCAGTTTTAAGTGGTGTTAACTTTGGAAGCCATACTAATTTTCCCTACTAACTTAAAAAAAAGAAAGCAAGAAAAAGAAAAGAAAAAAAAGAAACCCCTGAGGTGATCATTTCTTTTCTTTTAAACTGGAAATTGTTCCAGCTTTGATAGTTGGTTTCATTGCTATTCTCCTCATTTAAAAGTGAACAAGGCCCTAAATATACTGAACCTGGTATGAATGCCAGGCTTACAAAGCTCAGTGCAGAGAAGGGCTTATGAACCAGTCTGCAGGGGGCACTCACCTGCCTGCCAGCAAGTTAAAATGATTAATTTTTACAATTCCTCAATGGCTTTTGAAAGCATAAAATATTACAAGAATCTAAAACAAAAAGCAAGCTCCTGCCTGGTGATACATTAAAACTACGTATTTTACCTTAAGAAATAAAACTCAGAAGTCATTTTCTGTTCTATCATCTTACTGGTTATAATGGTAAAACAGAAGCCAATTCTGTGGCTGTAAAAGCTCCAGGACATCTCTATAAAAATCAACCTGGCCAGAGTTTTGAAAAGACAAACTGCAAAGACTGAAAACACATTGCACAAAACCATATGGTGCTCCAACAAAGCACACACTTGCTAGGAAAGAATAATTTGTATATTCATTACGTGTATATAATATATATGTCACCAGTCTATAGATCTTGTTTTACAGAAAGTAAGATCTATACAGAGAAAACAAGTTTTCTCAAAAAGGAGCTCTAATTGGAAAAATGGCATTGACAACCCATGCAAATTCAAATATGGGTTGATATTGCCGGTGCTAATTAAGAAAGCTATGTTTTTCAAGTTGGTAAGAGTTTTCAGCATTAATTTTATTTTCTTTTGGTGTATTGATCTCTTTAACTGTAACTCTTGCATATTTTGATTTCTAACTCAAGAAGGGAGGTGTTTACGAATCATCTTTTTTCTTGTTGGGAGTCCTGAATGAAATCACGCAATTGGGCAGTCTGCCAAAGGGTGTAAACAACCTTGTCCATATACAAATCCACCTTTTTCAGCATCTGAGAAGAGACACACTAGGGAACAGGTAGTTGCTCCAAGTGAGAATGTGAGAAAAGATACGAAGTAAGGAAATCTCAGCCCTTATTCTCTCCGGTGACCACCACTGCCAATTCTCATCTGTAGTAACAGCTAACCTTAGGTGTCAGTTACCATGCAAAATATTTTTCCTGGTTTGCCTTATTTAAAAAAATCCTCTGGGGCATGTGATAAGCAACTGTGCCAAATTACACAAGTCCTCAATGGCAGGACTAGGACTGGGACATTGACAGGATATTCCAGAGTCAGTGCTCCTAACCATTGCGCTCTCTCGACTCCAGGCACAGTAGGTATCTACACGAATGAATGAGAGAATGAATGAAACCTTAAGGATACAGGACTTCTTGTTGCCATTTTTTCTCCCTATTTCCAGAACAGCTGTACTGCCTTGTGGAAGTGTCTGCGTTATGACTTATTTTTCTCACACCTACCACATTGCTGCTCTGTATTAATGACCTGGGCTCGCACCCTCATTTTATTTGCACGAACATGGAGCTGATGTGCTGAGCAGCTTGTCAACCAACTTAAAATTTATGTTGCCACATACAAATATTGAATAAAGTAATAAGCACACACTTACTTAGCACAACATAGGTAGCCAAAAGAAAAAAAGAAGGAAAATTCTACATCCAATGCGTTAATACTGAGGTCTGCCCCTGCAGAGGTTGTTCTGTGCACGGACCAGGCAGGGCAGATGCCCTAGCAAGCTGCTCTTAGTCTGGCCCGTTCTCCTGACTGTGAAGGTGGGCAGCAGTGGAGAGGTCTCTCTGCTGTGGCACCCCATCAGCTTCTGTGAGCACCCCCCAATCTTTCTTCATTTCAGCCTCAAAGATCTGAAATACAATGAGTTCTTCCGCTCACAGATTTTTTTTTTTTCAAAGACTAAAAATGTATTCTGACTTTTCAATAGGCTACTAGTTTATTATTCACTTCAGGATAATCAAGGGCTCAAATTTCAGAAGGGAAAAAAAGAATTCTCCATATAGTTAAAATGTACATCCAGAAACAATTTCTGCCATGTAAAGAAACTGAAGTTGCTGTTTAGGCCTGATCACGGGCTACCTTTGCTCCTCCATTTACCTCCTCTTCCCGCTCCTCTTCGGACTCATCAGGGGCCGTGGCGGGCTCCAGCGCCTGTTGCAGCATTTGCTCCAGCTCTTTCAGCATAACCTCTGTCTCACAGACAACTAAAAAACATCAGTAAAAAAGGCTACATCTTCATTAATTCAATCAAATCCGTAATCTTAACCACCCCAAAAGAGAACATTGTCCAAATGGGCCAAGATAAAAAAAAAATTTGTATACTTTTCACGTATGACCTCCACTTGATGCAAAATAATTATGGATTTCCAGGTGAATATTTTACACTTATTCCTTTAAAAAATGTAGGTGATCTTCTTGCTATGGTCACAAAAAGCTCACTAGGAGGGTTTTTTGTTTTGTTAAATCAGGGCCAAACTAAATTGTTTTTTATAAACCAGGGGTCAGCAAACTCTTCCTGGGAAGGGAAAGAGAGTAAATATTGCAGGCTTTGTGGTCTCTGTCACCACCACTCATTTCTGCTGCTACAGTCTGAACCATAGACATGTACCTAAACAAATGCGAGTCACTATGTTCCTATCCAACTTTATTTACAGAAGCAAGTGGACTGTGGGCCACAGTTTGCCATCCCTCCAGTAAACACTTTTTTTAATTTTTTTAAAATTTTTTTAAAGATTTTATTTATTTATTTGAGAGAGAGAATGAGAGAGAGAGAGAGAGAGCATGAGAGGGGAGAGGGTCAGAGGGAGAAGCAGACTCCCTGCTGAACAGGGAGCCCGATGCAGGACTCGATCCCGGGACTCCAGGATCATGACCTGAGCCGAAGGCAGTAGCTTAACCAACTGAGCCACCCAGGCGCCCAACCTCCAGTAAACTCTTAAAACTACTGTTTAAGAGGGAAAACCATGTAATTAAATGGCGAGGCTAAACACAGGCTAGTCTATTCCTAATCCAAACACCAACAAATCTTAATTGCTTAATCTGATATCTATCTGTATCTATCTATCTATATATATGTAGATATAGATATATTTTAAATACCACACTTAAAATTTGTGTGCGTGTGTGTGTACCACTGTGACATGAATTCACTGAACTTGCTGAGCTAAAATAATAACCCCACAAAAGAAATAAACTATTATATAACTCTATAGACTCAACTACTGATTAATAACATGCAGTTGAATTCCTGACTTAAATAAAATAAACATTTTTGTTTGATATAGTCTTGTTGAAGTAAAAATCAAGAAGACCACGTGTGGCCTGCTGTCCTGTACAACAGACAGATGGAGCATCTGAGACGCCCTTCCAAAGGCAACATGATTCAAAGAGAAAGGCCATGAATACACACCCCATCATTTTCCACTCTGGTGACAAAAAGCAGATATACCACCTCCTATTATCCACCATTCTTTGGCAGGTCACCAAAAATCACACTAGGTAGAGCAGCTAAAAGTTCGTGGAACATGAAAATAGACCCAAGCAGGACATACGCTTTCAAGCTAAAATATTATCAATGTATATGGAAGCAAGGCATTCTCAGCACTAAGTTTTAATCTAATTGTTGAACATATTTCAAAATTTTCTAACTAACCATGTTTAGGAAGAGTGCATATGATATATGCATCCCTTTATGTGTGTGTGTTCATCCTTGTAAACTAAGCACGTTGTAAGGTAAAAAACAGAGACTGTTAATGTGAAAAGTTTTATGTTTCCTTTCCTCCAGTTCAAAAGAATCCATGTTTTATCAGAATCTTCTTTGCTGATAATTTTCTCTCATCTTTTACTCATAAGAAGGAAATTTTAATGACTTTTTTGAAAAAATTTTTTAAGGTTTTATTTATTTATTTGACAGAGAGAGACACAGCGAGAGAGGGAACACAGCAGGGGGAGTGGAAGAGGGAGAAGCAGGCTCTCCGCGGAGCAGGGAGCCCGATGTGGGGCTCAATCCCAGGACCCTGGGACCATAACCTGAGCTGAAGGCGAACGCTTAATGACTGAGCTACCCAGGCGCCCCAGGAAATTTTAAAATTCTGCCAGAACATTATTAAATAATAGTGTTAAATAAAAAGTCATGGGAGGTTATGAAATAGAAAATTTTCCCTTTCTTGGTTGTCACTACAGTATAAAAAAACAATTTTTAGTTAACATTTTTCACATTACAATTTTATCTACAAAAATAATTTTTCTGTCAATACTTATCACTTGCCCCAAGTGCTTTTATATTCATTCAACAAATATCAATTATTTGCCTACTAAGGGCAAGGGACTCGAGAGTAGGCACAGACCAATGAACCTCCCTGGATATCATCTCTTCCCAGCCAGTCTTAGGTTTTCTCTATGAAAGACTTCTTTCAAAACAGTTTGAAAGTAGCATTCTGATAAGCCATTTGCATAACACAGAACCAGTTCTTATGTTTAAAAACACAACAAAAACTATAACTGACCTGTTAGTTGTGTCCACATATATATGTGTTCTGTGTAATTGCTAAAGCATAAGAACACAGAGTTTGAACTATTATGTTCTAAAACAATGGTATTACAAATTTGGTAGGCATAAGAATCACCTGGAGGATTTACTACAAAAACATGAATGCAACCCATGTCTACTGACTCAGAATTTTCTAGAGGTATGTACATTTTTATTGAAGCAATTTTGTTAATGGAATTAACCTCTCTTTATGATAGATTTCCTACTTAGTAACCTGTTACTTAACAGACAACTACTTGTGGTTATCTTCACACTGATTCTCTAGTCCCACTCACGGATGTTGTGTTTTCCTACTTTACATGCTGAGTCTACGGAAATTGATACTGACATTTAATGCACTATTGAGAAGATGGATTTTGAGTTACGCTCTAAAGGAAAAATGGCACGCAAACATCTTTATATTTCTAAGGCTAGGCTAAAATACAATCAATTTATGATAATGAATGTCATTGCCAAATGGCATCGTAGTCCCTTCATTTTCAAGTGATCTGGAAAAATATGTACACTGCCTTTTGATCAGAGGGTAGACAAAGTAATGGAAGACTTCATAAATCAACCAGGGTTCATAACACCAACTTGACTGATGTCAAATTCTGCCGCCAGAGCAATGGGAGGTTTGCTTTCCTAAATAGGTATTCCTATATTGTAAATGGATAGAGTTCAAAAATAATTCTCAAGAAACAGCAGTTATTGTAATCTACAAACTAGGTTATCAAAATTGGCCAATGATATCCTCCAAAGATAGAGACAGAATGAATGCTTTTGCTGATTGCATGACCAATCATCTTCTATCAATACTGATTATCTTGTAGTTTCCCTGACTTGTTTCAATTTGTTTAGAGTAAAGTGGTAGCATTACAGTTATTCCATCACTCAGAGAAAGTTCTTTAAAAAAGAAAAAGGTATCTCTTATACCGAAGTCTGTATCTGGCTTTTAAAAATGAATTTTTATAAAATGATCTGTGTAGTTTTTCCATCCCTGATAAGAAGTAACTTACTGTTGGTCTCAATAAATCAGTTGCTATTTTAAAAGTCTTCAAATGTATATTTATGGAATTTTCTCCAATCTCTACTTTTCTACTAAATCTTTAAAGAAGCTGTTTATTTCCTATGTAAAGAGGCTACTGGTTAGGCTACCTACCCCAAAGCTGGCACTGAAAAATGTCATCTTCAATAAGCTGTCAGGGTCATTTCAATATTGAAATTTTGAAGGCATTTTTATGGAAGAGGGTGAGGAGGACAAAAAAGTATTTGGGTTTTGTTTTGTTATTAAGTAACCACAAACACCCCTCTTGTGTGCTTACAATTTAAATGTAGAGATGAGTAAAATACAAGTTGGAATGTAATGAAGAGAGCACCATTCCTGGAGACACAAACAGAAATAGGAGGCAAGGAGTTTTCTAGGAAAGGGGCATGTCAGTGAACCCTACCTTTTAGTCTATAGGTTAAGGGTAACTCTGAACAAAGAGTAGGTGGACAAAGTTTGTCCTGAACAGCAAAAAATCAACTTTCTCCCTGTCACCCCTTCTACCTCCCAGGCCCAGCCCCTAAGGCCTTCATGCCCCATCCCCCCTTTGGGCTTTCCCTATGATCCAGACCTTTCCTATATTAACCATCGTTTTCCATGCTTATCTGTCTCAGGTAGCTGATGAATATATCCTTTGCTAATTTATTATTGAATGCCATAGATTATCAGTTGAACCTGGGTAATATGCCAACCTTTTATTTATTTAAACTTTTATAGACTGTCTACTACCTGAAAAGAAATGAGGTATTTACCAACAAAAACCAATGATACAACAAAACAGATGATGAAAACCCAAAGACAAAAAGAAATCAAAATCAGTTCATTAAGGGGGTATGAATGGCAATAACGAAATCTTAAAATTGCTTAGGTCAGCTATCAGTACTGCACCCAAACCCGACAGAGTTAGCTTAACGATTCCTGATATTCAAAGCAACAAAGGACACAGCTGCACACTTTGATTAATTTTAAGAAGATATGTGACTTAGAAAAACTATAGAACCTCTTAAGTGTCTCGGTTTCCCCATTTATAAAATGGGAGATATATTATCTACCTTATTTACTTCATATAGATCTTACAAGGGCTAAATAAATATATATGAAGTGTTTAGAACAGTGAAGACACATAGTAATTGTTATAGGTGTTGGCTACCATTATTACTATTGGTATTATTATTTCATCATTGTAGATGATTTTTCTTGTCCTTAAACACTGAAAAAAGTGAATTAAAGGGACAATATAAATATAATTTATAATATTCCTGGTAGTAATTTTCCCCAAAACACAGATCTGCTCAACAAATAGCTATTTCTTAGATTAAATCTGCATAGCCATGGGCATACAGTTTAAATTATTTAATGATTCCTCAACTTTTTCTATTAATTTCCAAAAGTCCTCTCCTTGTTGGATAAGAGGGCTTCTACTGCATGTCTTAATCACAGATGAAACAAGTGACACGTGGACAGGTAAAGTAGCTACACTTAATTAGCTCTTCTGGCTTCTAACTAAGGAAGAGAGAAAAGCAAAGGGTAGAGTTTAAAACCCAGAAAGGAATAGCAAATCTGGGCAGTAGGTTGATGGGAGACTTTAGCATCTGGGAGTGTAAGGAAAGTGGCTCCAAAAAGTAGGGCAGACATTCAAGAAGATGGTATAATTTTCACTTGATCTAAGACTGATCCTACCTCAAGCCAAAAAGAAAAGGAGTGATTTCAGAGACTTAGATTAAGGGATCCACTGAACTATGGGTAGGGGTAAAAAACTGAGGGGGCTTAATCCACTCTTTCAAGAAGTAGTCAGCTCTTGCAAAGAACACAGTAGACTGGATGTTTCTGCTTTTTAGTTGTTTGAAATGGGATAAAGGAGTAAAACACAGAACAGATTAATGATTTGAACAATTAACTATTGAGACTTGAGAGCCACACAGAATGGGTGGCTGAAAGGCTGTCCAGTGGATAACTATGGAGATGCATCCACTCATTTATGCAAAGAGTGATTTCCAGTCAATGAATTCCTGGCTCTGATGGCTTTCTTCTGCAGTAGCCCCTGTGAGTTGAAGGCAGGAAGGATCCCAGCATTGGAGCCCTCAGCTGCAGTACCAAGGTCTCCTAGTGGGAACTCAGTCCAGGGATAAACTGCCTTTTGCCTTTCTACAGGAATATTTGAACTAATTATGTGAGGCAAAGGGACAGCATAGCCAAGAAAAGGCACCCATGTTAGCAGGAAAGTAGCAGCAGAATAAATTTAAGAGATAGAAACAACAGAATTTTGTAGTGGTTTAGGAGAGGAACAAAAGGATTTAAAAAAATAACTACTCTGTCCTTCTTCTGACTGCTTTCCTTTTTCTTTTAATAAGACTAAAGATGAATGGCTTATTTAGTCAGTTGAAACACAGAGCCATAGGACCTGGGGGTGACCACAATGGAGGGGGAATATGGTGTGGATAACTTCTTGGGGTTTAATGGGCTTTGGAACCTCTTTGCGTGGCTGCCAAAGTTTCATCTTACATATAAGCACTTGCCTGCTTTTCAAGACTATCGAAAATGAAGGAAGAGTAAAGCTCCTTTGAACACTAAAACTTTCTCCCTGCATTCCACATTCACCCTACAATGTTCTAATACCAATGGCAATTAATTCAGCTGGAAGCCCCAGGTTGCTGCTTTTTTTTTTTCTCTCCCTTTGGCACCCCAAGGACCCCAGTAATTTTGAAATGGAAAGGTCTGGATTTTAATGTATTGATGCGGGTATTTCCTCCCATAGCCACTGGTGTTTTATTTATTTTTTTTAAATAATACATGATAGAGCCAGAGAAAATTTAATTCACGGAGATAGAAATCTAAAGACAACTGAAGAGATCTAGTATGTAAATCAATACCAAAAATGACCCACTAATAGTTCTCATATATGTATTTATGTACAGTTTTTTCTTCCAAAAATTACAACTACATTTGGTAGAATTAAATAGAAGTAAAAGAACTAAAAGCAGGAGAGGCTTTCACATACCCATGTTTTCCTTTGATAAGGCATCATCTGAACAAACATTTTCAAAAGAGCATTTAAAAATAGCTTTCCTAGAAAAAGAATTTGACAGATTTAGTTTCAAAAGAGCAATCATGTATATTTAAGTGGCCATTTGTATATTCATTGATAATTATAAATTATGAATATATTTCTTTATCTTGAGGTACGTTTCCTTGGTTGTTTTATACAGTAAGACAGCATGATACAGTGAAAAACCAAAGGGAAATAATATTGATCTGAGCTCTCACTAGGTGAGAGTGAAAAGCGTGGAAAGCTTTTCTAGGTGAAAAGTACTAATGACCCACCAAGTACCTTATATAGGCTTTTTCATGCAATCCTCCCCCAGAAAACCTACTAAGGAATTGCTACTCTCATTTTATAAAGAAACTGAAGCTCTAAGAAATTGAGAAATTTGACAGTGTAGGAAATGGTTGGACATGACACAGCTAAATTCTGTCAGACTGCAAAATCCATGCTTTTCCCACAACACTGTGTTGCTGACTTAGAGTCAGAGAAGATTTGTTCAAATGCATTTTCTCTAACCATAAGATCTTGAGAAAGCCAGTTAGTTTCCATAAGTCATAAGTTTTTTACCTTTTAAATAGAGATGATTATGATACACCCCCTACCTATTTGATGGGGTTATTGTGAAGTATAACTAAGATAAGTAAGGCCTTTTTAAAAATTTAATTATTCATCCTCTGAAGAAGGACAAAGAATAAGAGAAGGACTATCATATCAGAGTCAGACTTTGTCTTTGAGCAGGACTCCTTTAATACAGCACTGATTACCAGTCATCAAAAAAATAAGTCAATTAACTGTGTGGTTGGTTCAATGATAAACACTAAAACTTGTCATTGGTGGCTTATCAGTTCATTATAAAGGCCTGTTTCTGGTTTGCACTATTTTAAAACCAAACACCTGCTTCTCATCTGCTTGCTCACATGATATTAATCTTTGATAATTCTGCTTCAACATATTTGTATAAACATAAAACCTTCTCCATACTTCTAAAACTACTACTTATCACCTTAATTCTTTTAGAAAATTTTCATGTTTCCCTAGAGAAAAAGAATCAAGAATCAGGGGGCAATGACATAATAATTAAATTACACACACACACACACACATTTCAATTTTATCGTAATATTTTTCAATAAAAAAATACCTTTTCCTTCTTCTAAATTTGGGCTTCTTCTTTTCAGTAGTGTTTTTGGAAACTTGCATCTATAAAATAACAACAAAAAGATGAGTTAGTTCAAATGGGACTAATGAGTTCAGTAAGATAATGGGTTCTATATGGTCCAAGTAATTTAGTCCAGAAGAAAAACTCTGGCCCACAGCTCTCAACCACACCTGGAACTCCAAGTCAACCACTTCATAGTCACTACAATTACACTGATCTGCTCAACTTCCAGGAATAGTAGACTAATCCAATGAGTGCCCATCTCCCATGTCCACCCCCCTTCTCACTTCACAAACATATAATAACACTAGGCAAAACAATCTTTATGTTTTAAAACATAGATGACCTTTAAAGAAAGAAAAAGAACTATTCAGATGCCAGAAACATGAAGGGTGCAAAACCATATGGATAGGAAGTGACATGGTAAAGGCCTACAAAAAATGTATACCAGGATAGGGCCAAAAGGGTTGGGGATTTTAATATCTAAGCAAAGACGAGATGAAGGATGTGGAGAAATTGGCACCTCCATACACTGTTGGTGGGAATGTGAAATGGTGGAGCCACTTTGGAATACAGTTTAACAGTTCTTCAAGATGTTAAACAGAGAATTACCTTATGATTCAGCAATTCTACTCCTAAGTATATACCCATGAGAAGTGAAAACATTATGTCCATACAAGAAATTGCATATAAATGTTCATAGCAGCATTATTCATAAGAGCTCCCAAGTAGAAACAACCCAATGTCCATCGATGGATAGATAATATGTAGTCTATCCATACAATGGAATATTATTTAACCTTTAAAAACAACAAAGTCCTGACAAATACTAAAACATGGATGAATCTTGAAGCCATTATGCTAAGTGAAAAGTGAAAAAGTCAGACACAAAGACCACATGTTGTATGACACCACTTATATAAACTGTCCATAAAAAGGCAAATCCATTGAGACAGAGACAGATTAGTAGTTGTCAGTGGAAGGTGGGAAATGGGCAGTGACTGCTAATAGGTATGAGGTTTCCTTTGGGGTAATGAAAAAATGTTCTAAATTCATATAGCGGTATTGATCGCAAAACTGTGATTATACTAAAAACCACTGAACTGCATATTTTAAAACAGTGAATAAATTACATCTCAATAAAGGTATAATTTTTTTAAAATTTGGTGACACGGAAAAATGGAAAGTAAGGAGACAGAATATAATATATCAATGATTAACAAAAGGAACCCAACATAGCGATATTACTGTTAGAAAAAAGCATAATCATAGATAAAAAGGGTTATTACCTAATGCTAAAAGAAACAACCCACCCAGAAATATATTAGTCCTCACCTGTATATACCTAGAATTTCAGCCTTAAAATATATAAAGTGAAAAACAGAAAAGAATCACAAGTAGAAACTGATAAATCTACATTAAAAGGAGATTTTAATTTACTTCTCATACAAAAATGAAAAGGCAAAAAAAAAAAAAAAAGCAAAGAAACAGGAACGTTCAACAACACAGAAAATGTTTAATCTAATAAACACATCTTGAACCTGGGACTGAATAATTAAGGAATACATATAGCTTTCAAGCCTGAAACATTTACAAATTTGACCACCTACTAGGTCACAAAGGAAGCCTCAAAATATTAAAGTAACCTCTCTATTTTACAGACCACAGTCACTGGCTAAAATGCAATAAAATAAGAAACCAGAGGTGCCTGGGTGGCTCAGATGGTTAAGTGTCTGCCTTTGCCTCAGGTCATGATCTTAGGGTCCTGGAATCGAGCCACACGTCAGGCTCCTTGCTCAGCAAGGGAGCCTGCTTCTCCCTCTCCCTCTGCCTGCTGCTCTGCCTACTTGTGTTCTCTCTCTATCCCTCTGTGAAATAAATAAATAATCTTTAAAAAAAATCAAAACTCAAAAGATAGCTGAATAAAATCTGTAATCAATTCATAGATGTAGAATAATTACATTCTCCCATAAACCTACCCATGATAAGAGTTATGATCTATGTCATTTGGAATTATTGTGTCACATTTTAGTTATTGGTATACGTGACTTATTTTTTCACTGGGTAATACATTTGTCTCCATGTCATTCCTTGAACGCTATAGGAGCATGTGAAGTGTTTGCGGAATACATGAATGAATAAATGTTCAGAGAAAGATACAATAAAAACAAATATCACTAGGAAAAAACAGTGCCAATGTTACTGTCCATTCTGTCCCATCGTGGTTGTTGATTTAAGCATTTAACAAATTCATACAATTTGTCCTCATCTCCTAAGACAGAACCGCAATGCAACTTTCACCGCAATGTTAGCTTCTTTTGTCTTTTCACTTTAAGAAACCTGCTAAAGTGAGCGGTTTCTTAGCCCATTTTGTCTAAATCTTTCAGTTACACTGATCTTAATTTTACTGATCTTGAATCAAGCAACCACACTGCAAGGGTGGGAACAATTTTTTTTATATATATTAAATGTTTAGCAGCTAGCAGAGTGCCATTCACATTGTATGTTCAAAAGCATTAACTATAATGAGATGAAGGTTGAATTTAATAACTCTCAAAGCATTATTAAACAGCTTAAATACATCAATAACCATTCAAAAGAAGTTTGTATGAAACACTCAGGGAATTCATATTATGATGATGCTAAAAAATAAGTGGGTTTTGTGTGTGTGTGTGTGTGTGTGTGTGTGTGTGTGTGATCTGCAACCACAAGGTAATATTCAAGTATTTTTTCCATCCCTGTTTCATATATATACATGAAAGTAAATAAGGTAAAAGAGCATATGGAAATATTATTGTCTAAATCATTGTTCTACATCTCCAAAGACAATGTAGAGCTATTTCTATCTTGTTATTAAGGATCAACTTAAATTATGTGCATATTTGAGTATAAAGTGAAAAGGTTGCTGCAAGGGGAAATAAGATTAAAGTAACAAAGTACAAACTACTCCATAGGTATTAATAGAAAGAAATACTGTTAAATAGCTACCATAAATCAGGGAGATTTCTGTTAGAGATAATAAATTCCTTTCTACTTTGTTAAATATTCCATAAAAGCCAAAATGAAGTAGTCAGTATTGCCAAATGCCCCATACTTTCCAGCTCCACGCCTTGATAAAATATGCTATGATGGAGAAGAGCACTGAATTTGGAATGACAGGATCATGATTTGAATTTAATCCTGGTAAGCTGTATCACTTCTGGTAAGTCACAGACTTACCAGAATATCTAGCAAGAGCCTGGTATAAAGTAGACACTTAATAAGTATTTTCTGACTAAATGACCATTCTGTATTTCAGGACCTTCTTTTATAACTACTGTTAAAATATAACTATCTCAAAGCTTTTGGGGGTAAGATGAAATTAAATAACATCCCAGAAGGTATCTAACAGTGCTCAACAATTAGTCAATGTTCAATCATTGTTTAACCCGTTATACTAGTCCACTGGGCTAGTGTCAGAATTCTATCATTTTTCCTTACAGCATATGACAGAACTTGGCACTTGTTACGGTTGGACTTATGGTAATCCATTAGTTTCCCAAGGCTGCCATAACAAAGTAACACAAACTTGGTAAAGCATCAGAAATTTATTTATTTATAGTTCTGTAGGACATAAGTCTGTCTCTTATGGACAGACCCTTAAGGATACTGGTCACTGGATGCAGGCCCAACTAATCCAGGATGATCTCATATCAAAATCCTTACCTTAATTACCTCTGCAAAGATCCTTAATTCCAAATAAGGTCACATTCTGAGGTTCCTGGAGAACGTATTTTCTGGGGGCTACTATTCAACCCACAAGTAGATACTATAATCTTTATCTATTTTATCCCTTCCACTTCTCTTCCTGTGTTGCAGCTGATTCTCCCATGTTGTCGAGCCTCATGCTATTCAGAGTCAGGGCCGCCACATGCAGAATTAGCAATACCTGAGAGTTTGTTAGACATGCAAATTCTCATGCCCATCCTAGGCCTACTGAATCAGAAACTCAGGGAGTGGGGCCCAGAAATCCATATTTAAATAAGTTCTTCAGGTGACCTGTACCCCAACTAGAGTTTTCTAGGCCTTGGTCTAGCCCACACGCACCCATACAAATATAATGCTATATACTGTCATTGATTTTAAAGAAACCAAAGCCAGTATTAATTCTTTTCTTGCTAGATGTAGAGGAATCTACAAGAAGTGTACGTATAGAGAGCAAATGCCATTTACTGAAAAAAAATATATTTATTTAATGATAATTAGGACTGCTGACTGGATTGGCAATGGCAGAATTGCCCTTAATTGCCACAGACAGATAATCCATAAGAATTGTGTTTATATCAGATTTATATAATCTTCATAAAGTGACTTGACGTTGCCCATATCCTTAAGTCACTATTCATCTAAATGAAAATAATTTTATTTTTAAGAAGAACTTTGTTAGCTGTGTTAATCTGAGGGCATAAAATTCTGATTCAGCATTTTATGCTCATAGAATACATAAATATGTTTTGTAACCTTCCATTGAGAGTAATTGTCAATCAACGAACACTAAAGAGCTGCCTACTTTGACAGAATTTCCAAACGTGAATCTGTGTCTTGAATAATATACACAAACTCCTTGTCAAAAGTTATCATATAGAAGGAAAAGCCAATATTCTTATTTCCCTTTGGAAAATCTGCTGGGAAAATCTGCTTGGAATAAGGATGAAAACTAGTTTTATGCAGCTTTGTAAATGATGGTTATTACTTAATCTGAGTTTCCGGAGAGTACAAATAATAAAGTTAAGTTTTCAGGCCTAGATAATGATTGTTTTCACTCTTCTTTGAAAAGGGGGAAAATTAAAATAATCATTTTCTAGCCCTATTTTAAACAAGATTTTAACAGAGAGAATACAAATCTAGTGCTTCTTACATAAATGTCACTCGATTACCATATGCTCCAGTCCAGTCGCTCTTAGTAGAGTTCAGTATTCCTGCGAGATTTGAACGATATCAGAGATCAGTCCCTGGCAATATGACTTATAAATATCTTGCTGTCCCCTGCACTATCTTTAGC